TGGGTGTTTCTCAGCTCGCCGGGTTCGGGTTCCGGCTTCCTTGTCTCTTCCTCCGGAGTCTCTCCTTCAGCTGTGGTCTTGCCTGTGTCTGTTTCTGGGGGGGGCTCCTAGATCACCCAGCGGTTGCTCAAGGGTTTGTGCAGGAACCTGAACATCGCGATGTTGTTCTCCCCGCTAGGATGGGTTTGGCTTCGTCGTCTGTTCTGGTTCCTTTGGGGACGTCCCTTCTGCCTCTCTCACAATCGCTGGGTTTGACCCCGGGGGCTTTGAGTCGGCTGCTGCATCGCCGGCTTCATCTGTGTGTTTTCGGGGTTCGGTGCCTTGGCGCCTGCCCGAGCCCTCACTCGGTGTGTTCCCGGATGCGTTGTCGCTAGACTGCAGCTTTATGACCCGTGCTCCCCAGGCCGGCCAGGGGCGGTGTGGTCTGTCCTTCTGTTGGTTCTACAGCACGGTGCCGGTGTTCGCGGCGGTGTGGTTTGCGCTCCGGTGGGTTCGGGTCGGGTCACCCACGGATCGACGTTCCGGCTCCATTCGGACTGTTCCCCGGTGGTTCCTTGCTTGAACCGAGGGGATTCAATGCAATCCTTGGCTTTTTGGGGTTGGTCGCTTCGGGTGACTCATCTGCTGGGTTCTCGGGGTTTGGCTCTCCTTCCGTTGGTTCTGCCGGACGTTCGGGCGCCCGGAGGTGGACCTCTTCGCATCAGGCGTGGTCGAGGAGTCTTCCGTTTTCTGTGGCGTCTTTCCCTGCCTGCGAGGCTGTCAGGTTCGATGCCTTTCGGTGGATCTGGTCGAGGTGGGGGTTACTGTACCTCTGTCCCCCGGTTCAGCTGTTGTTCCTGGTCCTGGCTCGCTTGGAGGCTTCCCAGGGTTGTGTGGTCCTCTTGGCCTCGTGGTGGCCGGCCCAGCCGTGGTTTCCGGCGCTGCTTGCATGGTGTCTGCACCCAGAGGTTTTCCGCGGCTCCACCTCTTTCTGGAGTTCGGGCTGGTCCGGTGCAAGACTGGTTTGCTCTTCTCTGCGAGTCTTCACGTTTGGTGTTTTTGACTCGTGTTTCTCACCATCTGTATGGTGAGCGGATGGCTTCTTTGTTGGTTTCTCGCCTGCAGGTTCCTCTCGGCGGCAGTGTGAAGTTTCCTGGCAATCTTTCCGGTTCTTTTTGGCCCTTCGTCGTTGTTCCTCGCTTTCGGTTCGGGTGGTGTTGTCCTTTCTCTCTTGGTTGTTCCAGGCCCGTCATCTGCTGCCTAATACTGTCGCCTCGTATCGTGTGGAGCGCCGCTGCTGCTAGCTTTTGGTATCAATGTTCCTTCTGCACCGTTTCGCGGGCTATCTCATGTGTTGGTTCACCTCTGGCATGCTCCTGCACCTCCTGAACCGTCTTGGTCTTTGGACAGAGTGCTCTCCTATCTTTCTTCTCCTCGGTTTCTTGTGGCCCCTTCGGTTCAGGATTGCTTTGCTGAGGCGCTCTTTCTGTTGGCATTGGCCTCTGGAGGTTGTGTGGCGGGGCTTCATGCTCTTCTCGGGCGCAGTGGTTTTTTGCTTCTTTGGTTGTGGTCCTTGGGTTGTTGCTTGGGTTGTCAGGCCGGGGGTTCACCTTGTGTTGTGTCCGGTTGCGGCCCTCCGCCTTTATCTGTGCGCCACGGCTTCCGTGTCCAGGGACACGCTTTGGGTTGATCCGGTTTCCCCTTCTTCCCTGTTCGCGGGTTCGGGTCTCGCAGGTAGTCTGCGGGGTTATTAAATCTAGCCAGCCTGCAGTCTCTCCCCGTGCCCATGACGTTCGTAAGTTTGCTGCTCTTGCTGCCGTCTTCGGCGTTATGTCTTGGGCTGACATTCGGGTACAGAGTTTTTGGCGGTCGGACAGGGTCCTGGCTGCACGCTCCCTTGTGAACGTTGCTGGGCCTGGTCGGGCCTGTGTTGCTTTAGGTCGCCGGATGCAGCCTGTTGTCTCGACTTCGAGTTGAAGGGTGGAGCACCGACCGCCTCCTGGGTAGGTCCCCTTGTTTAATTAAGAAGTCTTTGGGGAAGTAGCTCCAGGGAGCCGTAGGGGCTCCCCCCAGAAAACCAGCGTTGAATGTAATGAAACTCCATTTTCTGGGTGAGTCCCGGAGGCTCCCCGGCACCCTCCCGCCCTCCGGTCGGCGTTTTTTTCGTGATTTTGATATCCAGCCTCAGAACTGGGGTGGAGATCACCGTCTCGGGGGTCTGAGGCTCCCCCTTCCCCCTCCCAGGGAGGGGGGAGCTGCGCAGACATGCGGCGCGGCTCGTGTGACGTCCTGCTTGTTTGTTCGTTTTTCTTGGGGAGTTCTGTCCACTCGTTTGTCGATTTTCGTTGTTAACCAGAATAGGGGTTTGTTTTGTGGTACTTACCTTTCTGGGTGCCTGTCCAGGTCGATGGCAGATATAGAATGCTCCAAATCACATGTGCATTTCTATGGGCCATTGCTCCCCCGTGCCTCTGTGAGGGGGTCAGGTTCTGGCTCGTGGTCCCCGGTAGGCCTAGAACTCCACCCACATTGACTGATGCAAAATAGTTAGGTATCCATATCAGCCATAGATAGCTCCGGGGAGCCTCCGGGACACCCAGAAAATGGCGTTTCATTACATTCAACGCTGGTTTTTTATCAGTCAGGGGTCTTCTGTAATACTATCATTGCTAAATAATAGCATGAACATATATATTATGGCATTTTTAGGCAATGCTGTGGTCACAAGCTGAACATCAGTGCTGTGAGCTCATGCTAAGTGCGCCATCGTTGGTGGCTCACTCAGTACTGAGGCCCTAACACCCGTGAATGTGCCCCACGATTTTTTTTTTTAAGTGGCGTCTGTTTACAAGAGCCCTGATGAAGGTGTGGTGAACCCCATGTATCCTCGGGCCGTTTAACCCTTAAACTGCGCATGGCGTATATATACGCTTGAGTAACATGTCCCTCGGTGCGCATGGCGTATATATACGCCGTAAGGTGCCAGGCACGATTCAAATAGCCTACTGCTACATGGGGTTCATATTAGCTTCCTCAGGGCTCTTGTAAACAGATGCCATGTTTAAAAAAAAATCATTGGCAATATTCTCTGGTGTGAGAGCCATAGTATTGTTGGAGCATCCAAGGCTGGCGCACGCAGCATGAGTGAACAGCATTGCTGTTTAGCTTGTGACCACAGCATCGCCGAAAAATGTCAAAATAAATATATAACTGCTATTATTTAGCGATGATAGTATTACAGATGACCCCTGACTGTGATAAAAATGACCAGGATTGTGATAATAGCAGGATTGTTGTGATAATTACCACTGTGGGAGGAGTGATGCTGAGGGATGGAGGGAGACAGCATCGTTTACTGACTGTGTGGCCACCTGTTATCGTCTGCATTCACCATACCAGCTCAGTGGTTTTCTATGGTGAGCACAATTGTAGATACTTATATATAATGTGTGTATTAGTGTAATAACTGCAAAAGGATTATGTTGGAAGGAGCCATTTGGGTGATGGAGGTGACGTCGTCTGCATGACTTGTCTGGCTGTGTGGAGGGTGGCCTCTATGCTCTTTGGGAACCCTACAAACTTAGGTGTACAGTTACAGTGCATACAACATGTAGATATTTATATATAATGTGTGTAAATAGTGTAATAACACTGCAAACAGTATTGTTGGGGGAGAAATTTAGTACGTGTGAACTTGAATGAGTGAGGGAGGCAGCCACCAGCTGACTGTGTGTAGCGATGTCTCTTAGTACCTGAACTAACTATAACAGCTTAGTTGAACAGATGTGGTGAACAAAACATATAGATACTTACATATAACGTCTGTATATAGTGTAATAACACCACAAACGGTATTGTTGGGGGAGAACGTTTAGTGCGTGTTACCTTGAATAAGTGTGGGAGGCAGCCCCCAGCTGACTGTGTGTAGCGGCGACTCTTAGTGCCTGAACTAACTATATCAGCTTAGTTGTACAGTTGTGTTGAACATAACATCTAGATACTTATATATAACATCTAGATACTTATATATAACATCTGTATATAGTGAATAAAATAAAAAACAGGATGGTGGGAGGAGAAAGTGGGCGAGTGAGGCGTTGAGGGAGTGGCAACAAGTGGCTGGCTGGTGTGTGGTGGTCACTCCTCGTTGCATTTTGACTCTCAATACCAACTTAGTGGTTCGTTATGGTGAACAAAACATGCAGATACTTATATATAACCTGTGTATAGAGCGTAATAACAGCAAAACTATTTGTTTATTTTTTATGAACATAATAATTGAATCACTAATATGCACACTATACTTTTGAGTATAGCAATGATTCACCACTTTTATTATATAAATATATCACAATACACACTAGTGAATAATATTACTGCAAAAAAACTAAGAAAAAATCAGAGACGTTGAAATAATTACGTAATAATATCTTTATGGCAACTCCCACCTGTCAGCTCGGGTGACGCTGACTGGCTCTGATGACCGCTCTGTCAACGCCCACTTTTTGCCTGACTGCCTCGGCCTATTGCGTCCAAAATATGTCATCTACAGTTTTTTATTATTTTTCCTGTGCTTAGGGAACACAAATTAAAATTTTTAGAAGACGAAATCATTTATTAGATTTTTTTTCTTGCACACAGGAGTGTAAATCTCCTCAGGACCCCTTAGAAGCTTAAATCTTGCGTAGTACTCCATCGCATCATATGATGCGATGCACAATTTATTGCAAGTTACTCAACCCATCATATGACGTGTTGCTCAGTTTAAGAGTTAATGTGATTTCCTTGTGCACCACAAGCATAATCTCTATGTGTATCTTCAGATATGTAACTGCAAATAGACAATAACATAAGAATAAACAGTAAGTGAAGGTCAAATTCCTACAAACACAAGTAACAAGACTCAAAATGTAAATCTCTGTATTGTAGACATTTGCAATGGTATACAGTGTTCATGTGTACCATTACTAATGCTGAGGTTTGACTCATATTTCATCCAAGTATTTCTCCTATTTTTATAGAGCCCAGATTCAGGGAACCGTCAGCCATCAGAGTTTGAACTGTGTGCTCTCCACGCGTCAAGCGCTGTACTCTGCTGCGGTCCCTCTTTTGACCCGCAACTCTTAGCAGATGATGGCCACATTTACCAGTGGCTCGATGCCCTTCTTGGATCTCATGATGAAAAGGTATGTATTACTTTCTCTCTGTCATTGAGCTGTAAATATTGCATGAACTGGCCAAGGTAAAGTTACTGTACATAGATCACTAGAATTTTTATTTTTATTTGTTAGTAAGAACATGTAAAGCAGCAAATGAATAACAAAAAATATTGTAATATTATCATTCTTAAATGTATAATTTTGTTGAGCTTCTATTAAGAATGAGATTTCAGTGTCAAATCTTTATTTCATTGAGTAATGAATCACTACTGAATTTTTACTTGATCACCAGTACTGTACATAGCTAATTCTGAACTATTTGTTATATTTTGGTACAGTACTGTATTATAGGTGTTTGATAGTTTAGTTGATTGTTGCAGGAAGATTTAAGGTCTAGTGATATTTTTTATAATATAGTAATACTGACTGATTGTTTGAAAATAGTTTCTAATTTTGTTGTGTTGTTGTGTTTCTTAGAGTATTAATTAAATTTAGGTTTTGGTTTTTAATTAAATTAATTCAAATTAGCTAAGTCAAATTTTTTTTTACTATAAACCACATTTTATTTATACTGTTTGAAATGGAAGAGATATTTTAACATGCAGTGTATATTCACCTAGATATAAAGAAGAGTAGTTTAAAAAACAATTTGTATCTAGTAAATGTAAAAAGTTTTGATCTAAATTAACATTCTAATAATTACTTGCATTTGTAATGGCATATCTTTTCCGTAGATGCTTTTTTGAAGTAGATATTAACACATTTAACTGTGATGCTGTAGTATTAACTGTTAATAGTCCAAATTAACAAATAAAGGCTAACATTGTGAAATGCTTATTAAACAGTAATGTAAAAAGGCGCAGATACACAAGACACTCGCAGAGCAAGACCTCAAAGTTAAGCCGCTTGTTTCACTATCAGTGAAGCGTTGGTGAAGTTGGGTTTTCTTTGGTGTGTTGCCTTGTGAGTGTCTTGCTTGTTTGAAGCATTTGTGAGACTTATAAAGTGCCTGTAAATGGCTGCATGTCTGAAATTTTCACCAATTTTTCTTGCTGACTCTCTTCTCTTTTTCTCCCTTGCATATGCGCTCACTAGATAAAGAACAAGGTAAGTGGGAGCGTGTTATTGTTCTCTCTTGTTCTTTTGTTATATGTAGCATTGTAACGACTAACCAGTACTGTAGATAGTTGTGTATTGTAGCTTTTTACAATGTATTGAGTGTTTGCCGACTACAGTTAAATGCCAGTAGCACACTTAAGAAGACTATGCTGATCATTAATACATGGTATGAAAACTTATACCAAACTTAGACTATATTTTGGCAAATGTGCAACTTTGCAACAACAAATATATATATATACTGAATGCAGTAAGAAAATTTCCAAGAACTAGTACGATTAATTTATAATTTTAATTAAGGGTCAAATAGCTCAAAAAACTGTTTTGTTGGCATAAATGCTGTATAATACGGGCCAAATATGGCAATAATATGATAGTGTACATAGAGCACAGTACAGTGTTGTAGAGTAGTAACACCCAGTACTACAGTTACGGTACTGTAGGAGGCACAATACATGCTGTAGGAGTGTGGGACTTGCCTGCTTGTGCAGCTTCTTGTCTTGTCATTGCATGAAGATGTTTGGCTTATTGCTCCATTGGCGCTTCATATATATATATATATATCTGCAATGATATATTGCTGCAATTTGAAGACCTCTGTTTTTAGTCTTAATACCACCAAGATACTGAAGTGAAAGGACCAGTCTGGTGTAAAAATATTCCTCGGTAATAGCCAAAATATTGTCAAGGATGCAGCAGCTGTCGCTTGTGTGTGTGTAATTACCCAAGTGTACAAATCCACAAGGGCCGTGACGAGGATTCGAACCTAAGTGTAATTACTTTCTTAAGTGTAGTTACAGGATGAGAGCTACGCTCGTGGTGTCCCGTCTTCCTAGCACTCTTTGTCATATAACGCTTTGAAACTGCTGACGGTCTTGGCCTCCACCACCTTCTCCCCTAACTTGTTCCAACCGTCTACCACTCTGTTTGCGAAAGTGAATTTTCTTATATTTCTTCGGCATCTGTGTTTAGCTAGATTAAATCCATGACCTCTTGTTCTTAAAGTTCCAGGTCTCAGGAAATCTTCCCTATCGATTTTATCAATTCCTGTTACTATTTTGTATGTAGTGATCATATCACCTCTTTTTCTTCTGTCTTCTAGTTTTGGCATTTTTAATGCCTCTAACCTCTCCTCGTAGCTCTTGCCCTTCAGTTCTGGGAGCCACTTAGTAGCATGTCTTTGCACCTTTTCCAGTTTGTTAATGTGCTTCTTAAGATATGGGCACCACACAACCGCTGCTTATTCTAGCTTTGGCCTAACAAAAGTCGTGAACAATTTCTTTAGTATATCGCCATCCATGTATTTAAAAGCAATTCTGAAGTTAGAAAGCGTGGCATAGGCTCCTCGCACAATATTCTTTATGTGGTCTTCAGGTGATAGTTTTCTATCTAGAACCACCCCTATATCTCTTTCTTTATCAGAATATTTTAAAGATGTCTCATATAATATATAGGTTGTGTGGGGTCTATGTTCTCCTATTCCACAGTGTGTGGGTGTGTGTGTGTGTGTGTAATTACCTAAGTGTAATTACCTAAGTGTAGTTACAGGATGAGAGCTACGCTCGTGGTGTCCCGTCTTCCCAGCACTCTTTGTCATATAACGCTTTGAAACTACTGACGGTCTTGGCCTCCACCACCTTCTCACTTAACTTGTTCCAACCGTCTACCACTCTGTTTGCGAAGGTGAATTTTCTTATATTTCCTCGGCATCTGTGTTTAGCTAGTTTAAATCTATGACCTCTTGTTCTTGAAGTTCCAGGTCTCAGGAAATCTTCCCTGTCGATTTTATCAATTCCTGTTACTATTTTGTATGTAGTGATCATATCACCTCTTTTTATTCTGTCTTCTAGTTTTGGCATGTTTAATGCTTCCAACCTCTCCTCGTAGCTCTTGCACTTCAGTTCTGGGAGCCACTTCGTAGCATGTCTTTGCACCTTTTCCAGTTTGTTGATGTGCTTCTTAAGATATGGGCACCACACAACAGCTGCATATTCTAGCTTTGGCCTAACAAAAGTCATGAACAATTTCTTTAGTATATCGTCATCCATGTATTTAAATGCAATTCTGAAGTTAGAAAGCATCGCATAGGCTCCTTGCACAATATTCTTTATGTGGTCCTCAGGTGATAGTTTTCTATCTAGAACCACCCCTAGATCTCTTTCTTTATCAGAATTCTTTAAAGATTTCTCACATAATATATAGGTTGTATGGGGTCTATGTGTGTGTGTGTGTGTGTGTGGGGTAGTGACACTGTTGGTGTATTTTGTGAATTAAATGACTGTCCATGTTGAAGAAATAAAGCTGAGGCTAAGCTGAGGAAATAAATATACAGTTGAACCTCGATTAACGAGTGGCTCTATTAACGAGTTTTTCCAGTAACGAGCAAGCCACTCGCAGCAAATTTGCCTCTATTGACGAGCTCGCCTCTATTAACGAGCAAAACCACATGGTGCTTCCTAGCATCTCGCGGGTTCTCGCAAATTCTCGGACGCCTCCGACGCTAGTGTTGTTGTTGTATCGCACTCGACAAGCATCCCTCTGGATTTATTTGAGCTTTTCTTTGGGTTTTTAGTGGTTTTGCGACTAAAATTTGTAACACACGATGTCTCCAAAGAAGCTGCTGGCTAAAGATAGTGTTGTCAAGAGGAAGAAAGACACAATTACTGTGGATTTGAAGAAGGAAATTATAGCAAAGCATGAGTGTGGTGTCTGTGTGACTGATCTCACAAGGGAGTATGGCAGGTCCTCATCAACAATTTACACCATTAGTAAGGGAATGAGGAGGTAAGGGAGGATGCTGCCTCTTCCACTGAGATCAGGGAAGTGTTTGGAATGTTTGAAAAGGTGAACGCATTCTTGGAAAAGCTGCCCTAATAAAGCAGTGACAACCCGGTGTGTGAAAATGTTTAATTAATTTATCACTTTGTGATAACACTTTATGAAAGTGTTATCACTTTCGCAGGTATATGTTGCTTGAACGTGACACACTTTTTTCTCTTGAATGCACCCAAACACCGCGCTCAAGCATCATTTGAGCAAATATTTCTATAAAATCCAATTCTTATCCGATCGACTTGGGGATTGTATACATGTTTGCCATGAAATTTCTGTTTTCTTTAATAACCACATTGCCTATTTGAGAAAACGGCATTGTATTGTATCTTCGTGGTAAGACTATTATATTGTTGACACAACGAGTGTAATCGACATAGTTTTTTATTTGGTGCTGGTCTAACGCATCCTTGTGTGACATTTGAAATGAAATTTGGGTGAAATTCCCAAGAAGAGAGAGTCCGCCTGACTCGGAGGTGGATTCTCCTTCCACACCATAACCTCTCTCCTCCATCCCACCTCCCCATCGTCTCCCTCAAGCCAGCAACTACTCTTCATAAGGTAAAGTAAATATTAAAACACTACAACAAAACATTTATATTTACATGTGCAGTATTATATTTAAATAAAAAAAGTCATACAAGTATGGATGTTTTTGGGAGTGGAACGGATTAAATTTATTTCCTTTATTTTAAATGGGGAAATTAGTTTAAGACGAGTTTTCCAGGTAACGAGCTCGGTGCCAGAATGGATTAAACTCGTTAATAGAGGTTCCACTGTATGTATGTATGTATATATATATATATGTCGTACCTAGTAGCCAGAACGCACTTCTCAGCTTACTATGCAAGGCCCGATTTGCCTAATAAGCCAAGTTTTCCTGAATTAATATATTTTCTCAAATTTTTTTCTTATGATATGATAAAGCTATCCATTTCATTATGTATGAGGTCAATTTTTTTTTATTGGAGTTAAAATTAACGTAGCTATATGACCGAACCTAACCAACCCTACCTAACCTAACCTAACCTATCTTTATAGGTTAGGTTCGGTTAGGTAGCCGAAAAAGTTAGGTTAGGTTAGGTTAGGTAGGTTAGGTAGTCGAAAAACAATTAATTCATGAAAACTTGGCTTATTAGGCAAATCGGGCCCTGCATAGTAGGCTGAGAAGTGCGTTCTGGCTACTAGGTACGACATATATATATATATATATATATATATATATATATATATATATATATATATATATATGTATGTATATATATATATATATGTATGTATATATATATATATGTATGTATATATATATATATGTATGTATATATATATATATGTATGTATATATATATATATATGTATGTATATATATATATATATGTATGTATATATATATATATATGTATGTATATATATATATATATATGTATGTATATATATATATATATGTATGTATATATATATAATATATATATATATATATATATATATATGTATATATATATATATATATATGTATATATATATATATATATATATATATATATATATATATATGTATATGTATATATATATATATATATATATATGTATATATATATATATATATATATATATATATATATATATATATATATATATATATATATATATATATATATATGTCGTACCTAGTAGCCAGAACTCACTTCTCAGCCTACTATTCAAGGCCCGATTTGCCTAATAAGCCAAGTTTTCCTGAATTAATATATTTACTATAATTTTTTTCTTATGAAATGATAAAGCAACCCTTTTCTATATGTATGAGGTCAATTTTTTTTATTGGAGTTAAAATTAACGTAGATATATGACCGAACCTAACCAACCCTACCTAACCTAACCTAACCTAACCTATATTTATAGGTAAGGTTAGGTTAGGTAGCCAAAAAAAGCTAGGTTAGGTTAGGTAGGTTAGGTAGACGAAAAAACATTAATTCATGAAAACTTGGCTTATTAGGCAAATCGGGCCTTGAATAGTAGGCTGAGAAGTGCGTTCTGGCTACTAGGTACGACATATATATATATATATATGTATATATATATATATATATATATATATATATATATATATATATATATATATATATATATATATATATATATATATATATATATATGTA